GGGCTTGAGTTGGGATGTATGTGTCGGGGACGCCTCTCGTTGCGGGCAGCGGCAGGCATAGTCTCCCGTTATGGGCAGCGGCGGACATAGTCTCCTGTTACGGGCAGCGGCGGACATAGTCGTAACGGCCCGTGACTGGGTATGCTCAGGGAATCTGATTCCCAGCATAGCTCGAGACACGGTTTGGATCTGGACCTTACTTGTGATTTGAGCCAAAGGCAGGCCCAGTCCAGAATTATATATATATATATATATATATATATATATATATATATATATATATATATATATATATATATATATATATATATATATATATATATATATCCTATGCAATTTTTATTTTTTATTTTTGCAATTTTTATCATAGAGGTGCATGGATATATGTTACAAAACATTCATTATACATCCTAATGAAATAACCGTTCGAATTATTGTCCATAAAAGGAAAAACGTATAAATTTGAATTTTCCAATTTAAATTTTAATTAAACGAAAATTTAACATCAATTAATAAATGTAGCAAAAATCTAAGTGTCTATATAACACAAAATTTGAGAAGTTATTGCATAAACGACACTCACTCGTTACAACAAAAAAAATGTTTTCAATTTTGTCACAAAAAGCACTTTTATGGTCTTTGATTTTGTTAGTGTGTCACTTTGCTATCTCATGCAAAGGTAACCAACAAGGTGAATATCTCTACAAGCTTATTCAATCAAAGAAGTCTCAACAAAAGGATTTTTCTTCACATGAAGAAGCTTATTATTTAAGTGATTTTAGTGATGAATATGTTTCACATGAACATGATGTCGAACAACAACTAAGGTTGAAGGAAGCTGATAAGGTTAAGGCTTTGCCTGGTCAACCAAAAGGAGTGGATTTTGATCAATATGCAGGTTATATATCTGTGGATGCAAAAGAAGATAGAAAACTTTTCTATTACTTTGTGGAATCACCTTTGAACTCTTCCACAAAACCTCTTGTTCTATGGCTCAATGGAGGTAAATCATTATATGCATTTTTTACATCATGCATATATAATTTATTTAATTCATAATAAAAAGAGCTTTTATTCTTTTAATTATCTATATCACTTTATTTTAATAATAATTGCGGATAAAATCACATTATCAAACATGTGCAAGTGCAATCACACATAAACTTCATAATTTACGGTCTTATAATCTACATGATCATTACAATAAAAAAAAGTCAAATAATTTTTTTTTAATTGATTTATTAAAACTTTTCATTTTAATTTCTATAAATTCTTTAAAATAACTTAGATAAAAAATAGCTTATAACATATATAAAAGAAAACTAAATTTATTTTATCTTTTGTTATAAATATAGCTATACAAATTTATTTATAAGCACTTATTTCAATAAATATTTGTAATATAAATTGTAAATAAACTGTTTATCAATATTATTGAATGGTAACACAAAAATATCCATAGTTTAATTTTGTTTTCTTCTCATTTTATATTCACAATTAATTTTTGCTACTATACGATAAGATAATTAATTGATTCTAAATCAATCGTTGCATTTCAACATTGGCAGTATACGCTAGTGGAATTTCAATACGAAAGCTGAACCATGAGTCATGTCTCCCACCAAATTTGATTATAGCCAGAAATATTTCATTACTCAATTTGCATGCTTTGGAAGATTCTTATTTGTTTTTTTTTCCTCACTTACTGTTTTTCTTATAGCAACATCAACACAAACATCCCTTTCAAACATGTTAGTCCAAGAAAAAAATAGAGCCCACAAATACAAAATTTTGATTAGATTAATTAAGACTGTCTCAAGTTTTTCCTTATGGATGATTGGGCAATCTAGCATTTTGAGAGCTTAATTATTAAATTTGGTTGAATTTAGTTTGAGAAAATTAGAATCATTTTTACAATAAATACGTAACTAATTTAAGGAATGTCACTAAATTGTTTATATACAGGACCTGGATGTTCTTCATTCGGGTATGGAGCCATGCAAGAATTAGGACCTTTTAGAGTCAATAGTGATGCAAACACACTTTCTCTTAATAAACATGCATGGAACAAAGGTCAAAAATTTACAGTTAATCATAATGTCATGTCACTTGTATCATTCAATTAAGGGTTAAATATATTTGTAGTATTTAATAGAAAATTGTTGTTTTGATAATTGGCAGTGGCAAATGTTCTCTTCTTAGAGTCTCCAGCAGGAGTTGGATTTTCTTACTCAAATAATACATCAGATTATACAGTTGGTGACAAAAAAACAGCTATCGATTCGTACTTTTTTCTTCGAAATTGGCTCTCGAGATTTCCTCAATATAAAACGCGCGATCTCTTCATAACTGGTGAAAGTTATGCTGGCCATTATATCCCTCAGCTAGCTGATCTAATTTACTCGAAAAATAAGAAAAATGAAAATCAGAAACAGATCAATTTGAAGGGAATTGCGGTAAGAATCTATAGAGATTGTTCTATTGTTTTATTTAAATTTAATCTGTTAAGTTCGGGTAAATCACATTTCAACCAATACTCATCGTGCAGGTTGGGAACGGTTGGATAGATGACAATCTGTGTATGAAGGGAATGTATGATTATTATTGGACGCATGCTCTAAACTCGGATGAAACTCACTATGGAATAGAAAAACATTGTCACTTTAAGAGCTTTAACGAATCAAATGAATGTGTTGGATATCAAAACAAAGCTGATGATGAACTTGGAAATATTGACAATTACAACATATATGCTCCAGTTTGTGATTCATCTGTAACAGAAACTTCTTACTCTGTAAGTTGCATATAGAACCTTACCATTTATCATTTAGTTATGTTTAATTACATGATAAGGATAATGATAATGATTCTTCAATGAAATATTACAGGAAAATAATTTTGATCCTTGTTCTGATGATTATACAACTACTTACTTAAATCAACCTGAAGTTCAAGAGGCTCTTCATGTTAAAGCCACAAAATGGTTACCTTGCAGGTCCAACACTGTCTCTGAACAAATGTGTATCTTATGTTTGACAGATATTAGTGTTTGACATTGATATGACACTAACACATGTTTTTATGTTCAATTTTTTTTTCCAGTGATGACCTAAGTTGGACCGATAGTCCAGCGAGTATTCTATCAACTATAAATAGGTTAAGATCAAGTGGAATAAGCATTTGGATATACAGGTATAAATGGCTCTTTTATATAAAAAGATTATCAATACTTTATGTCTAACTAACATTAACATTTGCTTAATGAAATTGCAGTGGTGATACAGATGGTCGTGTTCCCATAACCTCAACAAGGTATTCGATAAACTCTTTAAACCTACCAATACATACAGCATGGCGTCCATGGTACAATTACAAAGAGGTAAACAACCATATAACTTTTACAATATATTAATGAAATACCGACACAGACACGTCAATACAGTATTAATGTTAGGACATTATTGTGCAGGTTGGAGGATATTTGATAGGTTACGAAGGGCTTACTCTTATCACTGTTAGAGGAGCTGGACACATGGTTCCAAGTTACCAACCACAAAGCACACTCACTCTTATCTCATCTTTCCTTCAAGGAAAACTTCCTCCTTAATCATTCTTTTAAGTCTATTACTTGTAGACATAAAATTTACGTGGAAATTTTATATGAAATTTATAAAAAATAATTCATTACAATAATTGTTTTGGAAAAAAAATGTGTTCAATTTTTAACTTTTATGATGAAAAGGTGTCAATTAGTAAAACGGAAACAAATCACTTCATAGAAATAAAGAAAAAAGTTGATCCAACTAAAATACAGAACAAGAACAAGTATTCAACTAAATCTCATTATATTTTTTCTGGGTTTTATTCCTTTTTAAATAGATTTTGTTATGGTGGTTATTGAACAAGAGCAATAAAGATATCTGTAAGACAAACATCAGCACAAAAACATGAAGATTCAAAGTCACTAAACTTTCAGAGGAACATGATAATGATGGAATTTCTTTCTTGAAGCCATCTAAGCTATGTGTTTCCACCAATTACCTCAATAGGGTTGAATATAAAAAGATCTAAGAAAAAAATCATAAACCCTTTCAAAGTAATAATACCTCAGTAGGAGGATACCTCAATAATAGGGTGTGATGATACCGTTTCAAAGTAAAAGGTACCTAAAAGTTTACTTAAAATCAATCTTGATTGATAGTGGAAAGTATTAACCTTAACTTTCCATGAAAATACCATATTCACAACCAACATACAAATATCTATAGGAAAAAAATTTTATGTGTAGCAATTTCTACAAACTTGAAACAAACCTCAGGTTTGTTGCATTTTCAGTGTGACATTCTCGAAAATATTATTTCACTCTTAGCCAATGGGGTTATTTTCACTCTTAGCCAATGGGGGTTCGAACAATGTTCCTTGACTTGGACAGAAGACACCACCATTTGGGCCACTACACACCCTTATAAAATTCAACCTTAAAAACAAACACACCCTTATATTTTTTTTTGTCAAATAGCCTACCGATTGAAATTCACCTTTTTAAAGGTGAACATCTTTTTGTCAAATAGTCTAATGGCTGAAATTCACCTTTTTAAAGGTGAACAAGCAGGATGCCACGGGTTTGAAACCCCGCTACACCTAATGTCCCTGCACATGAAGCTGTCATTAAAAAAGCTAACAATGTCAAACAATTGTTGACGGTGGGGAACAAAAATTATTTCAATCAAGCACACACCACTGTCATTCTTAAGATAATTATTCCCATAATTAAGTTCCAAATTCCTCAATAACCATTACTCCTACAAGTCTAAAATAACGATTAATTGAATCCCTACGGTTCTACCTCATGTAATCAAAATTCAACTCCACTCCACAATTAGGAGGGATTCTTAAGTACTCAGACAGATAAAAACAAGTTACATATGAGTGCTCCTTCAATAGCTTGCTCCTTCACGAGTAATTGTTCTGTAACTTGTTGTGAGTTCTACTCCTGCAAATCAGCTTACTTGTTGTTGGTGACCTCCATAAATAGGGTAACCTCCATAAGGAAGAGGATACACGCTTGGATCATGATGAGGAGAAGGCATATATCCGTATCCATCATAAATAGGGGATGGAAAATATGGCGCCCAGCTTCCGAAGTCAAACCTAAACTGTTATCACCATTGAGATAAAATAAGCACAAGTTCAATTCTATGAAAGACATTCTGCAAACAATCTATTACTCTAGCACTTAAAAAGAATTTCATGAAGAAATGAGATGAAAAGGAGGGAGAGAAAGATTACCTGTTTGTTTGCAGGATTGCGGCCCCAAGAGAGACGAACAGTTTGCTTGCCAATCATTGTCCCATTAAGCTTCTGCAGAGCCTCTTCAGCATTATTTCTGAAAAGGTTGTTTAAATATTATTATTGTGGTGATTTTATATTAATGAAGAGATTAAAAAGCATATTAATGAAAAGATTTGAGATGGTCAAATTTTTTTACCTGTTTGCAAATTGAACAAAGCCACAGCCCTTTCCAACAGGTATCTTAACAGAGGTTATCTCACCATACTCCGAGAATGTCTGCCTAAGATCTTCATCTGTAACATTAGGGTCGAGTCCTCCAACAAATATCTAAAATCGATCATCGATTAGCGATTAGCTATAGAAAATTAGTAATAAATCAGAAGTTGATAAAATGAAAAACCTTTTAATATAAGAGCAGAAAACTCACAGTTGTGTTGGTAGAGTCTGTCTCAGATTGGCTGGATGTGCCATTTGACTGGCCTCCTAAATAATTAAAGAAACACACAAAACAATTTATCGTGTATATTATATGATTTCATTATAAAATTGAAGAAATAGATATTCACAAGTCAAATCTGAATTTGATAACCTTGGACAAAATAAACACACAACTGGAACAGATATTTCAAACTCTTACATTAGCATGCAATCAAAATATAAATTAAAAAATAAAATATGGTTTGCCAAAAACTAATTGAAGGGATCTAAACCCAAGACAAGTTGGGAAATAAGTGTTTTGCGTGAATTCAAGAATTTCCATGAGATAGTTACTTGCCTAATCAGCTACAAAATAACATCACACAGCAAACCAACAGACCAAATGGACGTTTGAGCATGCATTAAATACTTCGTAGCAATTAATAAACTAGAAGGTTTTCAACTATCTTTACTCCTATTTAGTGAAACTAGAAAACATATTCAGTGTTCATTTGCAATCAGTAAATGACATGACATAATTTTTTCCTGTGAAAAAGACATGATAATAGTCATTTCAAAAATTATACTCATTTAGAAAGACATGACAATATCCATTCTAAAATGAAATCAAAAGCTAAACCATATGACTATAATTACTGTTAATATAAGCAAGAAATGCAGTTCAGATCATAGTTCTTCTGTAACAACCTGCAGCAGAACAAACCAATGAGGTAAAATAGGTGGGCTAGAAACATCTTTGGATGGAATGTATAATGCAATAATGCACTGTTCTTTTTCTTTCCCAAATGAAAAGAATAAAATTTCATATAGCAGAAACAAGTAATATGATTTGGCATACCTTGATGGCCAGATGATTTCCTTGGAGTTGCAGCACCAATACGCATGGGCCTGGTAGAACAGTAAACTCCATTCATTTGAGTCATAGCCTGAGATCTCTCACTTTCATCTCCAAACCTGACGAATCCGTAGCCCTTTGAACGGCCAGTATTGGCATCATAAACAACTTTTGCAGCTTTAACAGAAGGATATGAACCAGCAAAAGTTTCATGCAACAGGCTATCTGTAACATCAGCAGCTAAATCTCCTACAAAAATAGAAAGATCAGTAACATTATCTGAACCCTTGTCTCCTGTGCTAAATGTAGCCCAGTTCAGACGGAAAGATTGATCAGCATTTGGCATCAACATTCCAGCATAATTCTGTAAAACTTTCTCAGCTGTGGCATGTGAAAAAAATTCCACAAATCCATATCCCTCTGAAATACCACTATGCTTATTACGAATAACCTTGATGGAGGTAATCTGCAAGATAAAAAATAAATAACAGTCGAAAGGTTAATAGAATTATATATCTGAATTAATACAAAAAAATACAGGTAAAAGCAACATCTTCTGTCATAACAAATGAAGTTGTCAAAAATACAAGTTTATTTTCGACAAATTAAATATAAGAGAATCAGAACTACTCTGAAACAATCTGATCTGTTAAGAATCAGAAATGCATACACACAAATAATAATCCCGAAAGATCCCATCAATTTTCTTCTAACATGCATCAAATGGTGCATGTCAAAAGTTAACATTATTATGCAACATTTCAATTCATAGAATTAAAAGTCAGATAATAAACCAAAGAATGAAAATAAACTGTGTTAGGCTTTTGTTTTCATCTATTGCACCTATAGCTAATGAATAAGGAAGAAAATAAAATGAAATTAAAAAAAGATTGAATGTCAGTTGTCACAACTCAAGATAGAGTAAAACTTATTTGAGCCTAGCATGCTTCATTCTAGTATCAATAACAATTGAAACAGAGTGATAGTAAAAAAACACAACACAAATTTATTTCAGCTTCATTTATTACAATTTAATGCATGTTTGGAAGACATTTGAATTAATATCTCTGCAATGGATTTCCAAACAAGAAAACACAATATTAATATGATATGATAGGTCAAAGGTGACATGAACATTTAACATTCCATTCTTCAATCTTCAATTCACAAATATTAATGAATTTATTTCCACCTATAACTGTGCTCCTTCGAGATTTCATTCATAGGAAAGAATATTTTTCATATATACTACTAAAAACATGTTGACAGTCTAGATATAGAGTTCAGAAAAATTCTTTTTGCATATAATTGGCCCTTAATATATCTTAACTATTTGACATAGATTTTATGTAAAATACTATACATAACATATAGAACATAATTTATATCAAATCTCAAAAATTTAGACTTGTAGAATTTTTCCATCTATAATGTGGTAGCAAGGTTTAGAAAATCTCAATTTCAACTATTATCAAAATCTGAGTTTTATAAATTATCGATCGATACGGCGCCGCCAAGGTTTTAAATCATGATATAATTATTGTGGATCAAAAATCCAAAACTTTGATGTTACAAAACATCATTTATTAGAAAAAACCGTTATTTCAAAACCTTGGTGTCCACATTCCACACTTCACAAACATAAACTAGCATGAATCACTTACAAAGAAAATAAAAATTACAAATTTTAAAAGTTCTTAACAATAGTTTTTAGCAGAAGTTAAAAAGTTAGTTTTTAAATCTCAATTTTTTAATCCATCTGTTAATCTTTTTCATAAAGACATATTTATAACAATCAGAAATTTAATTCAATTGTAACCTTAAGAAACTAACCTACAACATACAACATGTAAAATTCAAGCATGCAAACAATTAAAACAATTAACAAAATGCAACAAATATACGCAAACGAAAGCAATAACAAACTTCACAAATAAACTATAACAAGTTTCAGAAAAAGACCTCTCCGGTGGAAGCAAAACAGCGATGAAGATAATTCTCATCCATCCAGTTATGCAAATCTCCAATCCACAGAGTCTTATTCTCTCCATTGGATCCATGCTGCTGATGATGATTCTGATGGTGATGCGGCACGTGCAACGGCTGCTGCTGAAACTGATGGTGGTGATGATACGGCACATAAGGCGGCGGAGCGTAATGCTGAGGCGGCATCATGTGATGCGGCATTACCATAGCCGTCGGATACTGCATCGGAACCCACGGCTGCGGTACCGCCACCGCCTGAGGCGTCGGTTGACGATGCGGTTTGTTAGTCTCCGCCTGCGTAGTGGTCGAATCAGAACCGTTCGATGGTTGCATCTTAATTGAATTAACGGTCACAACACACACTCTCTCTCTCTCTAACTGAATACAGTTACGGTGGTGGAGAGTGAAAGAAGAAAACGGTTTTAGAGAGAGAGAAAGGGTGAATCTGAGGAATGAGGTGAGAGAGAGAGAAAAGAGGGCGCGGCAAGGAGGGTATAAGAGGATGAAGGATTCATGGGTTGGCTTTGTAAACGCGGTTGATGTGATAACCGTTGGATTAAAAGATTTGGGCTTGATATTAACCGTTGGATTTAACTATGCATTGTACTATACTGTTAAGTGTTTGTGTCTCAGTTTCAGTACCTGGATCCGCCGCCAGGCCCTTCTTTCCTTACCCTCGCTATCCTAATCCACTGTATTTTTCTTTTCCTTTTTAAGAAAAATATCTTATTTCTTTTATTATTCTTCTATCTTTTCTTATGTCATAAATATTTATATCATAAAATATTATATTTATTACTTTAATATGTTAACCATGACGTGTAAAGTTTTTTTTTTTATATGTATATCAAAACAAATCCTATCAAATTAATATTTATTATGATGATATTTTTAAAAGTAATATATAAAAAGTAACATTAAAGATTATTGGATTTGATATCTAAAAGACTTATACAGTCAATATATAGATATTAATATTAAAATATATTTCAAACTTTAAAAACTTTTTTTAAGATTATACACAAAAATAACTAAAGTAATGCTAATCAAAGAAACGTACATTAAACAAAGATATTGTTTGTTGAGATTAATTGATATATATTGTCGATATGAAAAATTTTATAATTAATATATTATAATGAATAATTAATTAACACTGCGATTTATATTGTTAGTGCATTTTAAATTTCTTTTTTATTTTTATATTTTATAATACTTTTGATCAAAAATACACTCACATCATAAATATTTACAACTGTTTAAGAGTTAAATAAAGGTGAGAATAAATCACAGATTTGACTTTACAACTGTTTCGTTTTTTAAAATATATATATATATATATATATATATATATATATATATATATATATATATATATATATATATATATATATATATATATATATATATATATATATATATATATATATATATATATATATATATATATATATATATATATATATATATATATATAACTTTAAAAAGTTTACTAAGAAAATTTTTTAATAAAAAATTGATTTAAATAAATATTATTAAATTGTTTATTGTTTTGCTATAAATTTTTTCAAATTAAATTTTAAAAGACCAAAATTTAAAGTTATTTAAATGTTTTTCATAAAAATAATTTTTAAGATACATCATTTTAATATTAAATCATTTTGAAAATATTTTAATTATTTTTTATAAAAATCATTTTTGAGATACATCATATTAAATTATTTTTATATTTTTATATTTAATAATATATATTAATATTATAAGATATTAAAACTAATATTTTAATTTATAAAAAAAATGAATTTGAAAAGACTTGAAATTTTTTATAAATATTTTATAAAATTATTACTAAAAAACTACTATATAAAAAATATCATTAAAACTTTATTTAATTGATATATTAAAGATTTATTTGATTTGATACGGTCAAATCAAACTTTATAATTTATGATAAAATTTTAAAGTTAGAGTAAGAGCTGTCAAAATAGATTAGGCTTAAATGCAGTTTTGACCCCCCTAGTTTAAGGTTGTTGGAATTTCGATCCCCTAGTTTAAAAGCCAGGTTTCTAGTCCCCAAAGTTTTCAAATTTGGGATTTTTGAAGCCCCCTCCATCTGGAGGCCCAAAAAGTGACGTGGCAATGCCACGTATTTTTTTTTTTTTTTTTTTTTTTTAAAAAAATTTTTTCCTTTCTAACCTTAATTTTGCTCATGAGGAGAAGAAAAAAAAAAATTTTTAAAAAAATAAAAAAATATAAAAATATAAAAATTTAAAAATAAAAAAAAAACGTGGCATTGCCACGTCACTTTTTGGGCAGCCAGATGGAGGGGGCTTCAAAAATCCCAAATTTGAAAACTTTGGGGACTAGAAACCTGGCTTATCGAAACTCCAAAAACCTTAAACTAGGGGGTCAAAACTGCATTTAAGCCAATAGATTATATGCTCTAAACGGATCGGCTCATGTGAGTCTTGGACTTTTTAATGTCGGACTAAAAAAATTCATATTTAATTGAACTATATTTTTATTAGTCAGACTCAGTTTTACCTAGGCTGAAGGTTATCCGATTCTAAACGGATTTCAGCTCCAAACAAATCTATTTCTAAAAAATATTAAAAAAATTTGATTTGGGACCGGGGCATTTCTATAGACTATTTTAATATTTATAAATAACTATATAATTGCATGCAATAATACTTTTATATAATTATCAAATTTTATATTTAAAATTAAAACTTTTTAATAATTTATATAAGTTAACAACTAAAATGTAAAATAACATATTAATTTAATTCAAATTATTTAAAATATATCACAAATTATCCAATGTAGTACACAAAATTAAATAATTTGTTTCAACAAGTTTTAAGTTATAAATATTTTTGACAATTATAATTTTATAATAATAAACTGTTATAAAATTTTATAATAATTATAATTAGATTAATGTGATATAATTTTATAACAATTATAATTAGATTAATGTTATATAATTTTATAACAAATTGTTATATATCTGATGTGTACTAACTCGATCCTCCTATAAAAATTACATCAGAGCTTTTTAAACGTCGTTTCAACTTTATTTTAAATTAGAATATGTCATAGTGTCTTTTCTATACTATCTACATAATTATATTAGGATGAAACTTTTTAATTTAAAATTAAGGAAAACCAGTAACTTTTGTTTGATATTTATACCTTTATAATACCAAAAAAAATTAAAATACATGATACATAAATTTTTTATAGCATATCTAAAAATTTCATCACTTTAGACATCGAAATTTTTCATTTATATCAATTGACCATTTATATTACGTGAGCTCAAAAAATAAGGTATAAATTGTTTATGTAAATTGTTTACATCTTTCTTCACTAACACCATATCTAAAATTTCATACAAAAACGGTTCGATTTTTTTCTTGTTTAAATTTTTTTTATGAATTAAAAAAAAAAAATTCTAATTATATTAAAAATTTTAATTTTTTCGGGCTGACGGGCTATCCATAGTTCAAACGTGCCCGCTCGAAAAAGATCTAGAAATAAATGAGCTCAAAAAATAAAGCCTAGACCCTAATTTTTTCTAGACCGATAGTTCAGTCCATGAACTCCAATCCATTTTGACAGCTCTGACTTCTAACATATTATTGAAATTTAATACTATCAGTTAATTGGAATGGTTAGACTTTTATTAAATTTTAATTTTAATTTTAATTATTTATAAAATAATATTAATGAATAATTGTGATGCACTAACTTTAAAAAAATATATATCCTGATTATATATCAATTGATCTCGTATTTAATTTAATTTATATTTTTATTAAAAATTTGATATGTTCTTAAAATTTATTTAAAAATATGCCTTACATTAAAAAATTTATGCAATTTATTTTATATATTTTTAAAGAAAATAATACTCATGCATCGATTACGTAAAATTATTTTATATATATTAAATCAAATCATAATATATAGATATTTAAAATTATATTTTAGAAATAAACCTATAAAGTAGCACTATAATGTGATTTTATTAGATTATAAGTTATTTTTATATTATTTTTGTTTATTCTACAATAATATAAATAAATAAGATGATTTATAAGTCTGACATATTTAATTATATAAATATTTTTTAAATCGTTCATAATTGAATGTTTTAATATTTACAGTTGTATGCGTGAATTTTTAATTATATATATATATATATATATATATATATATATATATATATATATATATATATATATATATATATATATATATATATATATATATATATATATATATATATATATATATATATATATATATATATATATATATATATATATATATATATATATATATATATATATATATATATATATATATTAGTTAAATATGTTTACACTGACATGTAAAGTTTTTTAACATATAGAGTATCAAACAAACCGTATTAAATAAATATTTATTAAAATATTGTTAAAGTAAATATTTTAAAAGTAATATTAAAGTTTGATTTTATTTTATTTTTGAGTAAGGACTGATATAAAGTTTGATTTGATTTAATAAACATTGAAAAAAAATTATTTGATCAAAAATTGTAAAGATTAGTATTAAATATATTTAAAATTTTATAAATATTTTTCAAGATGACTAAAACACTAAATCAATGTGAATCAAAGAAACACATATTGAACAAAAATAAAATATTATTTTATATTTTATAACTTTTTTATAAATTAATCTTTGACTAAAATTTTCCTTGAGATATTATAAATTCTCCATATCTTTAAATATATTTAATGTCTATGTATAACTACAAAAACTTAATTGATTTAACAAAACATAATTTATAATATTTATTTTGTTGAAAAATACACTTTTAACATTAATACTTACATGATAAAATATAATTAAAATTTTATAAATATGTGTTATGTTGTCATAATAAAATAATTAAATGTTTTCATTTAATTTAAAATACTCAAAATTAATTATAAATATTTAAAATTAATTTTAACGTGTACAATTCATCCTGATTGGAATTAATTTTGTCACAAGAATTGAATCAAACTTAAAAATAAAATTTGTAGATGTGAGTGTAAATATATTTGTTTGTTTAATTTAACTATCAAATTAGTTTTATGTAAATATATTTAAAAATAAATTATTTTATATTCAAAATATAATTTTACATAACTAATCATTTAAAAACAATTTTTATCACATCGTAACAAAATACACACTTAATCAAATCAAAATAGAGGAATATGGTGAAAGATGATTGTTAGTTTACTTTTTTTTTTTTTTTCGTATTTTAGTTTTTAGGAGAATGAAATTTGAAT